ACAAAAGTAGATGCATCATGTGTAGTTACAACTGTAAAATAAAATGCACTATGTGTAGTTCATTGTCAAAGTCGCAGTTACAAAAAAAGATGCACGAAATGTGGTTCATCTCCACCAAAGCCACAATCACTAAATATAGCACCAAGTATAGTTCGCCATCAAAGTCGCAACTACAAAAGAAAATGCGTCCTGTGTGGTTCGTCATCAAAGTCCCAACTACAAAAGAAGATGAACTAAATGTGGTTCATCGTCAACGTCACAACTGCAAAAGAATTTCATCGTCAATCTCGCGATTGCAAAAGAATATGCATCATGTATGATTCTTCATCAAAGCTAGGATTGTAGAATAAGATGCACTAAGTGTGGTTCGTAATTACTAAAGCCGCAACTTCAAAATAGAATGCACCAAGTGTAGCTCGTCGTCAAAGCCGCATGTAGAAAAGAAGATGTACGAAGTGTGGTTCATCTCCACCAAAGTCACAATAACTAAAATATTGCACCAAGTATGATTCATCATCAAAATCACAACTACAAACGAAGATGCACAAGTGTTTCCTCGTCAATTATATATTAACCCTCACTTTTTTTGGTATGATATTGAGACTATTTGTGGTCCATTGTAAACCTACAAAAAAAGGAAAAGTGATATGTCTCACGGTGCCAATTGCACGAAGCTTCAAATCGACATGGTGAAAATTGTGGCATATGCTCTCGCACTCGTCATGATGAATATGATCTTATTTTGGCTTAAAATTTTTATGTTCTCTCTCCATGTAGATGATGACAAAATTCTCAATCAATACGAAAATCAATATGTGGCTCTTCGGCGAAGATGTAGAGAAGTGAACTCATGAATATTGTCCAAAATCAGTTAGATTGCTAACTTTAAAGAATTATTTTTGGTCAATCCATAATAACTTCGAGTTGGATTTTTGATATGTTATAGACTCAAGAGTCTTTTTTCTATAGATTCAAGTCTCTCTCCATTCGCTCTCTCCTATACCAAGATACACACGTTTTGGTGAGACTCCACAAGTAAGCAAAATAATAATGACATAATTGAAGATCAACTTCAAAAATTAATCATCGTCAATCAATGAATATTTTTACCTTGATTTTTGGATATGTTGTAGACTTTGATGTCTATTTTCTATAGAATCAAGTCACTCGTCATTCGAAATCTCATACACCAAGATAGAGATGTTTTGGTGAAACTTTCCATTGGAATCAAGTTATGGAAAATTTCTATTGGAATCAAATATGGAATGTTTTGAAAAACTCCATAAGAAAAAAATATATACTTCACGAATACAACAAGTCTTCTCTTTAAAGGTTTGACAAGTTGAACACCGTAACAAGCCTCGAAGCAGGGGGCATTCATAGACAGTGAAATTTTATTGATAAATCCATATTAAATTTTGAATTAATCCATAAATTCATGATATATTGACCACGTCAAATTATTGGTTAATAAAGTCGGATTAATATTTAAGTCAAAATATATGACTTAAATAAACTCCAAATTACATTTGGGTCAGTCCATTAAATTGATAATACGAGTCCAACTCATGCTCTTCAGGCCCAAGGTCCTCTAAAATTATTTGAAGATCAAAATACCCCCAAAACTCTAGATCACAACTATATAAAGGGGTCTTCATAACACCAAAAGGGAAAAGAAGGAAATGAATAAGAATACACACAGAAATACATAGAGAATCATTGCTCTTCAGTGGTGACCTGCAAGTCTTCCAAATACAAAGAAGTCTTCGCTCCAAGTGTTGAGCCGCAAGTATTTCATCACATCAAGAACATCCGTGAAGACAAGAATTAGGAGATTACATATCTTTTCTTAAAGATTTTACAAAGATTGTAACCTTCGCAAAAATTCAAATACAAATACTGTTGTTTGCTTGCTATTTTCCTTTCTTGTTTGTTGTATTTCAGGAACGAAACTTTAGACGCATACACAAACATATTAATCTAAATATGTGAACTGATGTAAGTTCGATTTAAATTTGAAGTTGCCGGACCAAAATTTGGTAATTTTCTATTATATAGAAATGTGAAGTTGAGGACGATCAAGGGTAATATGATCATTTCATATATAACTCATTTTAAAATTATATAAATTGTATTTTTAAATTTGTCAAAATATTTTTTCAAGTGGGTAAACTTCCTTCACAAGTTATATGACTTATCTAGAAAATATAAGTTATAAGATTTTTCTAGAACTAAGAGCATGTTTAGCATTGCTGCTAAAAACTGCTTATTTATAAAATTGTTTTTTTTAAAAATAGCTTGTCTTAAAAACTGTTTTTCAAAAAAAGCAATTTGTGTTTGACAAATTTATTTGAAAAGTGTTTTTGATAAGCAATTTGTGTTTGACTATCTTTTTTAAAAAAAAAAGTTCTTTTAAGAGTTAAATTACGAAATGGACAAGTATCAATATCCTTTTAAGATTATTTTGTAGAGAGAAATTATTTTAAATATCTAATACATAACTTTAATTAAATTAAAATGTACATATTCAAATTATTAATCAATACTATACATAGATAAATAAATAAATAAAATATTAATATAATGTTAACATGAGGAGTTAAATATAATTAAAAATATCAAGCAACATAAATTTAAATATTATTATTACCTATTTCTAATAATGCGTAAAATAATATATAAAATATAAATAATAATATATAAACATAAATGAAATAAATTTTTTATCATATAAAAATAAAAAATAAAATTCTTGAATGAAACTTAACAAAATTTATGAAATATGTTAATTAATTAATAAGAGATATATTGGTAAATATGTACATATGTAAGGGATATTTTAGTCTTCAAAAAAATAATTTTCTGCTTTTTTTAAGAAGCATAAATTTTTAGTTTCTTTCCAACATTAGAAAAATTGCTTCTACTTCTATTTAAAAGCACCTTTGAGGGTTCGCCAAACACTAGGTTTTTCAAAAAAAGGTGTTTTTTTTCTATATATTAAAAAAAGCACATTTGGCCTCCCAACAACAATTCCAAAGTCTATGACACAAATAAATAGACATTATCTCATTCACTCCTCAATTCTCTCCCCTCTCATGTCTTATACCAATAAATTTCTCGCCCTTTATTCTAATTTGCATCTTAAATATTATACACTCCGGTATAGATCTGTTATTAGGAAGATCAATAATGTAGTTTTTTCAACATTAAGAAATTCATTTTTGATCAATTCTTTATATAATGACCCTACTTTTGTAAAATAATTATAAGACAAAAGTAAAATTCACTAATTCCTAGTGGACGCATCACTTCAGGGACTTGTCCATATAGCAAATTTTCAGCAAAATTCAACTGCTCCACACTTTTCAAATACCCTAATGAACCAGTTAACATATTAAATCCAATATCAATCACAATTATTTTTCTCAAAATGCCTAATTCAAAAGGAATGCAACCGGTGAGCATGCTCTTCAAGAACAAAATTTCCAACAATTTCGAACATGTTATGCCATTTCCTTTGGTTCTCTTTAGACTTTTCAATTTCATGGTGTTGCTTTTTTTTTTCTTTTGGATTGTAAAGATAGTTTTTGAAGTATCTAATTTATTTGCTTTCTCTTTTTATGTATAATCCCAAAACTTCAAGTAACATATGTCATTATATAATTTATTGAGAAACATATATTTATTTATTATTATTATTATTTTATCATCAATTATTAGATAAATTATTATATTAACTACCTCATGTTAAATTATTGCAGTATATATTATATTAACTTTTGTTAATATTTTTAAATTCTCTTTATTTGAGGTAAATCATTTATTCATCATGTATATTAATTACATTAGAAAAACATCTTTCTTTACTATACTAAATGGTTCTCCTAATTTTAATAAATATTAAGGCAAGACACAATATCACAAATTTTTTTCATCCTTTTATCACTTTGTAAAAAATGAGATGATTTATTCTAATTTTCTTCAAGTAGGTCATTATTTTTGTTTGTTAAACACCTATTACATTTTATTGTTATTTCCTATCATGTTTATTTGAAAATATCATAATATTTTTTCTTCTTGAAAACTAATTAAATTTCTATTATAAACATATATAAGATTGTAATATTGAACCCGTAAACGGGACTTTCATTATCTAGTTAAAAGAGAAATTATAAGTTTCAACCATAAAGATAAGAAAGAGCGAAAACTAAATAATATGCAGAATGCCAATTAACAAATTATCCTTTTCTATCCATAATCAACTCATTATCCTAATCATTGGCATCAATACTTTCTGACTCAAATGTAACGACCGGGTTCCGTTGTTATAGAAAATCCAACGGGGAAAATTTTTGGGTCGAAAAACTTTTTCGCAGTAACTTGAAATTTTCCAACCTAGTCCAGATTTGGACGAAATTAGAGTCAGTAAGGTCTAGGGAGATCTGATAGCAATTGAGTGGTTTAAATATGATTTTGATTACATGAGTAGATAGCTAACACGTTAAGGAATCCGTACGACTTTACGGAATTGAATTCGGGCGAGTAGAACTCCTGGAATTGATCTTGGCATGAACGAGTAGTTTCTGAGTGTCATTGGTTGAAGGTGTGTTGTGAAAGGGGGTCTTGGAACTATTAAATGTCACGACCCGAGACTACCCCCCAGATGTGACACGGCATACAAGACTCCAAAAATCCTCATACAAGCCTCATAGCATATCATAACATAAGAGCATAGGGAAAAATGCAGAAAATTAAAACTTTCCTTTACAATCGAAGTCTTTATAAAATGAGAGAGTCTACAACACCATGTCTCAAACCATCTATAATACTTGGATTAAAACTCTTGAATATAATCTTAGGGACATAGCCCTTACATAATTCTAAAACATAAAAGAAAGACATAAAGGACATATGGTCAAGACCTCGAATACTATGAGGACTCACCAAGCTTCTTCTTCTTGATCTACTATGGTCCTAGCCACGAGGATAGAATCCGATATCTCCAAACCCTACACTTATAGAAAATGTAGAAATATGGATTAGCACAAAAATGTACTAAGTATGGAAGCCATGCATAAAAATCCTTAAAACATGCAAAAAGGGACATTTTAATTGAAACCATGCTATATGCCACTTTTGAACATCATCTTTGAAATAGTTGGAGAATGTAGCTCATAAGACAAATCATGTACAATTCATCATAGTGATGTGAGACCAAAAATATATATTTTAATCATTATTTGCCTCACATTTATTATTTATATTTGTCCTTTTTGAGCATGGATTTTATGAATTGTGCTAAATAGTGTATTTTATTTGTAGGAGTAGATTGGTGTAAAGTTGAAAAAGTTTGGAGCTAAAACAAATTAAATATGGAAAGTTGAAGAAGGAAATCAAGCAGACAGCTTAATGAATTAAATTTTATAAAATAATATATATTTTGGTGGAAGTAGAATTGGAATTGGAATTGAAAATTCCACGTGGCATCATATGAAGAACGAAGATGGACAGGAAACTCGGCAGAGCACGGATTACGCGTACATGAATTCTTATTCCGCTTGGATTTGGATTCCTAATTTATTTTGGAGTCAATTATTTTATTTTAGGATTTCTTATTTCTATAAATAGTTCAAAAAAATAATTATAGAGGGGAAGGAACGATAGAGGGAGATCAAGGAGGAGGCACTTTTGAAGAGAAAATCATCAATACTTTTTAGGGTTCTTTTCTTTTTCTTATTTTCTTAGAGATTAGTAGCTAAAGCCCTTGTTCAGGGGCTGTAGCTACGGATTCAATGTTGATTATTTAAGGTTTTCGAATTAATTCTTGGTTGTCATTATAAGTTACTTCTATATTCTTATTTTAGTATTTTGTGCTTGATCACCATGAGATAAATATATTGTCTAATCTTAAAATCGAACGAGGAGGGATTAGATAGACCAGAGGATATAGAGAGCTCGGTCCACCCATTAGATAGAGGTGATTAGTGTTCAGGAGTGACGCCCAGACTAACACCTTGCTTGGTTATGAAATAGGATGAAATATAAATGCTCGCCAGTTAGTTTATCTATCCCCGCTCAACGATGTAGTTAGATGGCTAATTGGGGTAGGCGGCGAGAGGCGAACCACCCGGACCATACTATCAACCCTATAAACCAGTAACTTGACAACTGAAATTAATTCTAAGCCAAAAATATGATACCTGAAATCTTATACATGCTGCAGCCCTGGGATTTTCCAACTATTGTAAATAATTTTCTTATTTTGTTTTTGCATTCTTTTCTTTTGGCACTATTAAATAAATAATTAGATCAGTATAATGTAGTAAAAATAGTTAATGACAAGTCCTTTGGGTTCGATAATCTGATTCTTTTAAGAACCACTATATTACTTGCGTGACCGCGTACACTTGCGTGTGCAATTGGGAGCGCATAAAGGATATCATCATAATCGCAAGCACAATCTCCAGCATAAACATAATGCATACTCCAATTTTCACAAGACATAGTTCACATGCATAATTACATACCAAGATCATCTCATCATAATGGAAATATCACATACGCAATCCTAAGCTACACTTGTGCAATGCATAAATAGGATTCCATAATCCTATCTACACTAAGTCTCACTTTTAGGCCACCATAATCAAGCATAAAATACCTTGACCTTATCCATAGCCAACACTCATAGACAAGGAGACGTTCATGTTCATAACTTGTAATAAGTAAAGTCACTCATAGAAACAATCCATATCATGCATACATAAATTCATATATCTTCATAGCATAAGGAAACCACACCATAACCCCTTTATAAGTCTACTTGTGCAATGTATAAGTGAAGTCACATACCCCCACTCACACTAAGTAAGGCTCATTAAGAAGTCACAAGTATAGTTCATGTTCATGTTCATAATTCATATAAAGCATACATTTAACTCATAATCATCATATCATAAAAGAGACATACCATGTCCACTCTCAAAGCCTACTTGTGCAATGTATGAATGAAGTCTCATACCCCCATTCATACTAAATAGAACCTCTTGAGGAACCATAGTACATAACTCATGTCCTTGTCATAATTTATATTCTTATCATATAGGGAATATAGCCTTAACCGACATAGACCATGTTGAGCTACATGAAATCCGGTGTCTTACTCCCACACCGAAAAGAGGTGTCCTACTTTCCTAAGGTAGAACTAACATATTTAGATTTTAGGTGAATCCACTAGCTAAAGACCTATGTGGGCACATAGTTATGGGATAAGAAGATTGCTACTGGAAGTCCGAACTTTCTAACGTAAAAGGTTTCCATTTCATGAGATAACTTACTTTGGGAAGCCGGACTTTCTAACGTAAAAGATTTCATCTCATTTTCATATCCACTCGGTGCTAAGCATAATTCCCTTTAAAATTCATATTAAGTCTTTACTTAATTTCATGTTCATGAAAGAATGTACTAGGCACTCCAACCAACATAACATCATAATAGCTCATTTATTCATTAGGTGGGAATGTCCTTTCAACCTTAGAATCATCAATATGTGAGTAAACCTTTCACATCATATTCATAGTGTGTTCATGAGAATAGCCTTTCAATCAACACAACAAGCTTATCATAAACATACATACTTCATGCATAGTCATGTGTAATGGTGCATATGAGAATTAGTCTTTCAACAACACCTTAGTCACATCATAGTCATGTTCATGCATGGGGTGTATGTGTGTGTGATTGTCCTTTCCATGATACAACAACAACATTATTATCATAGACACTTCACTCTCAAAGTGCTCATAAAACATGCACATAATATCATATTCATACATACCTGTCACGACCCGAGAGTACCCCCTAGTCGTAACATGGCGTATTCGACCCCGAAGGGGTCTTATACGAGCCACATAGTCATTCATTGCATTCAATAATGAAAATAGTGCGGAATAATAAAAAAAAACTTATTTACATCCACACATTTAAACTTCATTAAAACAACTTTAAAAACACACAGCGGAAGTCTAAGTCTCACATGACCATCTTAGACACAGTCACAAAACATAAGTAGGGACACGACCCTTCACAATCAAAAGAAGTCTATTAAGTCTATTACATGAACAAAAGAACTTAAAAGTCTTATCCTCAAATCCATAAGGACATACCAAGTCTTGGAGGAAAGCAATCCAACACTTCAAACTAGCTAGGAGGGATCACTTGCCGGAAACCAACACTTATAGTAAAAATATGAAGAATATGGGTTAGTACACAAAATGTACTAAGTATGATGACCATGCAAGACATGCTTTAAAAGGGACATTTTGGTTAGAAACCATGCATTATGCCACTTTTTGAAGTACCATGAATAGTTGCATAAAAGACATACAATACAAGCATAAACATCAAGTAAGTCATAATATTACCTTTAAACAATTTCAACATGAAAACCTTTACCTTGGACCTTCACCTCAAGAAACCCTTATGCTATACCTCGTGCAATGTATGGATGGCGTCTCATACCACCATCCATACTAAGGCACCACATTAAGGTCACTTAAGGTAACTTATCATTCCTTTCTTTCACCTTTGCACAATATTCATACATAAGAGGTATATCATCACTTAAGACATGACAAGGGAAAATAACTCGTAATATAACCCAAGTATAGCATGCATCTCATATTAAGCATTTGAGAGCCAACATTCTTTAATAACCTCATTTAGGCCACAATTGTATCACATACATTAGGATTTAGAGAAACTCACTATGACCCTCTCCAAGCCTACTCGTGCAATGTATAGGTAGCATCCCATAGTACTACCTACACTTTGTAGAACCTATCAAGAAACCATAATGAAATCTCGCATGATGGGAAGTAAGCGTTTAATCGACATAGACCATGAGAGCTTGTCATGGAATCCGGTGTCATAAGTCCCCACACCGTAAAGAGGTGGTCTACTTGCCTAAGAAAGACCGGTATATAGCTTAATGGATCCACTAGCTACCTATACGGGCACATAGTTTATGGGATAAGGTAGACGATCATTGAAACTCATGCCTAACTATTGGGGGAGTTTCCATCTAACCAAATTCACTCAGTGCTTAGCCTACATTCCCATAGAATAGTTCGTTACCTTGACATTATCACATATGAGAGGTGCCATTGGCCTACCAACTCCAAATTACATTCATTAACACGTGAAAGGGTGCTTTAAGCCTACCGTTTCAAGGTTCATTTAGGAAAGCTCATTAACTCCTCTTGAAAGGGTGTCATGGGCCTACCGGTTCAAGTCTCATCATTAACCTTCATGGAAAGGTGCCATAGGCCTACCGACTCCAAGGTTCATTATAAGCTCGTGTGGAAGGGTGCCACTAGCCTACCGATCCGAGGATTCAACAATCAACAATATAATCATTTATACAAGAAAATGATGCATAAGCCCTACCAATTCAAGGTATACTTTATATTGAAGAATCCTTCATATTCTATCATCAACATTCATGAGTGTCAAATTGAGAAATAATCTTTCAATAGCAACACCTTTACGTTCATAACATAATCACATTATCTTCATTGAATTCTCATTCATATAATGTCATGATAACACTCCAATTTCTCATACTATGCCTTTAAGGCCATGGTCACAATACATTCCATAATTAAACACCTCCACCATAAGTGGATCAAATCAAGCAAGAACAATTTTTATCCATAATATGAGATTAAGCCAACTTACCATCCTCCAAAGCCATAATAATCATTACTCAATTCCCAACAATTCTATCACCACAAGGTGATTCACCCATAATTTGCCCATAAGGCCACAATCCTCAATTCATCCATAAACCAACAATTCATCATAAATAGATATACAAAACCATATAAATCAACAATACAATCCGATCTAAACACAATTTCATCAACATTAAATCATAGGCATTAAACCCACTTCATAAGCAAATTCGAGGCTTTTAATGAAAACATGGGTTCTTGAAGAAGTTTCATATAA